TTTTTTTTTTTTCCCGCAATAGCAAACAACAATGCCCCCAAAACAAATATGGGCTTGTAGGTTTTTTTTAGCCCTACACGCCCATATATATATATATTTTTCATGCGTTAGAAAAAAAAATAAAAATCCTGCACCGAACTTGGCTGGTCGGTCGAGGCCGAAGCTGGCCGATTTGGCCGTCGGCCGAGGCCGCGGCCGATTTCCCCCCCCCCGGCCCCGGCCGGGCGTGCAACATAGCTCCTGCGTGACATGGCCGGAAGGGCTCCCACACCTTTGCAAAAAAGCGGGAGCCGATGCGCTTGACACCGGTCAGGTAGCTCAACCCTAGGGATACGCCAGTCGATCCTAGGATTCCTAGCACTAAGCCACTGCATAGAGAACACAAGGTCAAAGGGGACATTTGGGAACAAATAGAAATTCAGGCGATGCCTGATTTCTCCTTGCTTGTCAAAGGTTACAGGAAGACCCTCGACAACAGTCATGATCCTGACTGTGGATGAGTCACCAATACGGACCTCAATAGGTTGTCACAAATTTACCAGCCTCTGGTCCAAGTGCAGCTTGTTGAGTGTCTTGGGAGACATGAAGTTGTGAGTAGCCCCACAGTCCAAGAGCCCTTTGAACTTGGCTCCCAAGATAGAGGGTCGAAGTAGGATGAAGTCTGATCTGTGCTTTTTCCTTTCCTGCAAAGACAGGAAAAAATCAGCAAGACACTAGACTTATCCTCCTCCCACATCTCATCCAATTCAGTGTCTTCATAAATGAAGCACCTTGAAGATGCAACTCCAAAAACAAAACCAGCGAGAGAATGTAAAGATTCATCTTCTTCAGCACACACGTGGTTAACTAGGGGTGTTATTTTCGACGAATTTTGCACCGAATTGCATTGAAACTGTCATCTGCTTCCACCTCTCTCTGCTCTAGTTTTTTGAACTAGAGCTGCCTGCAGACCTGCGAGGCATGTTGGGACAGTCCTTTAGGAAGTGGTCCCCCTCGCATCTCAGGCAGACACCCCTATCCTTCCTCTTCCTCCAAACCCCCTCCTGGATCCTGAGTGCATGTCAGGGGAAGGTGGAAGGATCAAGGGGGTCAGTTGGCCAGCGGACGTCTCATGGTAAAGGCACTCTCTGGGCACCAGGGGAAGAGGCACGTCCCTTACCTTTCCCCTTGCTGCTGGTTGGTGCTTTATGGGTTGGGGCTTTACCCCTTGCCATGCCCATCAAAGCATAAGCCAGGGCAAGAACAGCTGAATCTGCAGCAGATGAGGTAGCAGTCCCAGATGGAGGGGTCCCACCCTGGGATGCTGCATCATCATCAGAACTCGAAGCTGCAGTAAATAGGGCACCCTTCCTCCTTCTACGCCCCTTTGAGGAGGTTCCCTTCCTTCTTTCAGAAGGTGCTTCCTGAACATGGAGTTTGGACTCCAAGTTGAGGGCTGCTCTGCCAAAGGACCGCCAATCCTTGTGACCCTGAGACAAAAGAGCAAGCTGGTATTGCTCAGGCGCTGCTCTCGAGAAACGAATGAGCATATCCTGCTCACTCATCTCTAACCCAGGAGTTGATGTCAAACTATCAAAGGTGGAATAGAGTTTGGACAAGGAGCCATCAAATTTCTTTCAGTCCAGGCGCAGGATTTTATCAGCCGCTTTCCTGGCCTGCTCCTTGTCTGCAAACCTATCCTACAGAGCCTACAGAAAACCAACCACCCCCAGCCTTTGCGCCCAGTCGGCCATCTCCATCCCCTACTTGCTGGAGGTGGAGGTGCACCATTTCAGAGTCGTCCTCTCCAATCGAGCCAGGATGGCACTCACCTTCACATCCTCGTCACATTTGAACCCACTCAGGTAGGTCCGCTGTGCAGTGACCCAATTTGCAACATCCACCTTGGGTCCTCGCCAAAGAACATAGGTGGAGGGGTCAGCTTGGGCCACTGCGTATCAAATGGACCTGAGGGCTGAGAAGGTGTGGTTGACTTGGGTGCAGAGGGAGGGGATGTAGGTCTGGATTGTGGGGGTTGCTGAGGGCCCGCTTAACAGGGCCCAAGAGATGGAGGAGTCAGGGTGGTTGGAAGCTGGATCTGGAGATGAGTAAAGATCTCATCCAGTTTGGAAGAAATGTCATCCAACTTTTTGGAAAAAGCTGAGTGACTATTCCCCAAACTGGTAATCCTCTCAACCCAGTTAGTAAAATAGGACCGGTTGATGTCATCCTGCAAGAGGATGAATTCTTCCATGTCCTTATTGTACTGACTGGAAGAACCACTCACCCTGATCTTCTCAATGTCTACAATGAGAAGTGTTCTTCTGGCTTCCTTCTGAGCTGCTGCTTCTTTTATTTTCAGCTCTGCCTTCAAAGCCTCAATTGCCTGTGCCTGTTGGCGAAGTTTCTCCTCCTCAGCACGCAGTTCAGCCTCTAAAGGGTCAAGAGGAATCTGAGGCTTCTCCTCAGAGGCTTCACCCTTCTCTGCCCCAGACATTTTGTTTTTACCCACAATTCAGATAAATAAAATAAAACAATTAATCAGAAAACAAAACAGGAAGTAACAGGAATTGAGTTTTCTCTACAGTACTCACTCAATTGCTGTCACCTGTCCGGAGAGAGAAAGTTGGTTAGTCTGAGCAAGTGAGTGCTCAATCTCTGCAGACCGCTTGAGCGTTAGGGTCAGATTAGAGTATTCTCAACAAAAATCAATTTCACGATTTTCCATTCCCTACCCTGACACTTCAATTGCATGCAATTACTGCAAATCCTGTATCAATAACTTCTAGGATGCAGTCTTGGACTGATTAGTATTGATGAGTAATTAGACAGAGTGACTAATTATGACTGACAGGTACCTACTAATGACCAAGAGGCAGTGATTTACAGGGTATGCTATTTTTAGACTCTACCCTACCGACTTCACCACTAGATGACCCTGTATGCCATACCGAGGGTATGGCGAATTACAAATATGATTGTAACTGGCTCAAAACATCAAATCTCACTGTGCGATTTCAAATACAGATTGTATACTGAATTGCGATTTACCAAGGACTGGCAGGATTGAATTATGACGGACAGAACCTTAGTTATGACTAACCCTAGTCCAGCCAAGCTTCAACTATGGCAGCACAAAATTCAAATTCCCATTATCACTGACAAGAAGACCCTTAACAACTCAATTCATAGTACAGGATGAATCGCAACACTGTAAAGCAGTCACTGATGAAATTTGAGTCAGAGAGGAGGTCAAACAAGGTTAGTAGAAGTCAAAGAAGGTAGGTAAGGGAAATTGGTTATGAATGTCATGCAGTCTGTATTTCGATTTTCAACTATCAACTGACTTACAGACCAAATTTCGCTAAACTAAAAATAGCCCCAGAATCGCCATACAGAATAGAGTAAGGAACACACTTACTTCAAGGATATCTCTGAAGAAGATGAGTGCAACCCTGGCTATGGCTGTCTGCTCAACACCCTCTCGCAAGTTTCATCTCCTGATGATTCCCAGTGTTCCCACGTACCAAATTTCCTGAAACTTGGTGATCCAGTAAATTACCCTGAGGCGCTTTACCCTTAACTGACAGATTCATTGAATCTGGACTCCCAGATGCTGATAATTGAGAAACTCAGTGCAGCGCTGCTCCAACCTGCACTTCACTGCTTGGAAATTGGGGATCCTGACCCAATTCCAAAATCGCAACCACCTGGGATCACTTCCTTGCTAATCGCCAGTATCCAGATAAGTCGCCAGGCTAAAAATAACCTCCTTAGAGCCTCCCAGGCCTCTGATCATCAATCGCCACTCACTCCTGCATAACCCTGAGCAGGAGTGTGTCACCCTCTGTCCAATTCTTCTCGCCACACACTCACCACCACCACCCTCACTGAAAGCAACCTTGAAGATGATAAATCGCCATGAAACTCAACTCCAGTGTCTCCCCAGATAGTGGTAGTTGCTCCAACTCATCAATCGCTTCACTGTCTGGATCCAATCGCTCTAATACCAACTGTTATGAACCTGGTTGCTTGTTGTCAATAAACCAACACTCGCTCTCATAGACTTCCAGATATGCCCATACATACATAGAAGGAAGGGGAGAGGATGGGAGAATCACACCGCACAGGGAGAGATAAACACAGTGGAAGACTTGACCATGCGATATGACAGAAAGCACTGACAGTGGAATTCACTCCACAAAATCCTCACAACCAGTCACAAAGGAAAGCCGAGTAGATCACATCCAAGAAACAATGCACACAGTATATACATTGTTTATTAAACTCAGAGTCTCGAATTGTCAGGAAAACCCCAGAACTATGCTGCGCTGCTCAGAATTGAGCAGCGCTTCACTCCCCAACCCTGAGTGACCGCTATCTCTACCCCTGAGTCCCTGCAACATCAAACACCACCCAGATACAGCCTCCAGAAGGCAGCGCCACCCTGAAACAGGCCTCTGAGGCCAAGCGCCTCTCAAAGGATGAAGAAGAAGACCAGCGCCACAGTGTCTGATGATGACGAAGTGCCGAATGACTTCCCGGGTGGAAGTCTGCAGCAGCGCCACCTCTCCTGACAAGATGATCTCTGAGGAAGAAGCTGCAGCTATGGCTGCAGTGCCACACACCCTGTAACCCTACTCCTGAGGAAGGTCCAGCAGGGCACCAACTTCTCTCGCCTCCAGCAGAACTCGCGTAGCCCAGACCTCTGAGCAGCCCCGCGTACTGTTAGAGTACAGTGTCAGTCCCAGCTATGGCTGACACTCCGCAGGTCCGGCTATGCCCGTCTTCTCCAACACTGAAGCTGTCACCACTTCCAGTTCACGCGTTGCACAGCAGCGATGTACACAGTACCAACTGCCAAAAGCCCTGAACCGATATCCTCCTCCTATCTATAACCTACACTAGCCTAGACACGACCTAGACCGGACTGACTGGACCGACTGGTACCGTTTCAGTTTCGGCCTCTCGCCCTCTACCTACCCAGCTATAGGGCCGTCTATCAGCATAGGCCCTTAGGGCCCGTCTGCCCTAGGGGTAGTCCGGGCCTGCTATTCACAGTTAGGGTAGTTGTAGGTATTGTTAGTTAGTGCGGGCCTGTGTTTTCCCGAATTTACAGATATGTCCCTCAAGAATTTTCCCGACAGGTAGGTCTCTCGGTTAGCCCTCAGCCAAACAAAAATTACAAATCTATCCTACCTATATTACAGCCTCCACAAGAGAGGCTACAGGCAACCAAAACCAGCAAGTCATTGCATGCTGCCCGCCCATGTCAATTACCAGTAGAGACAGCAGACTTCGACCGCCTGGCTTAACCAAGCCTGAGTGGCTTCCGAGAGTAGGCAAGCTGAGGCGCTGTTTTCCCAAAGCGAAAAAAAGGCAAAACTGTGGTCGCTGCAGTGTAAGAGTCTAAAAGCTAGGCTACCAGAGTGGTCCGGGACCACTTGCCCGGCCGGCCCCAAAAAAAATAAATAAATATATATATCGTCAAACGGAGCTGCCCGGTAAACCGTAGGCAGAGAGGGAGAAGAGGACAAGAAACGAGGGGCTGTGACAAACTGTTTCGTCCGAGATTCATATATATAGGGTTCGGCCTACTGATGAGTCGGTGAAACTCCAACGAAACAGTTTGTCACAGCCCATCGTTTGTTGTCCTCTTCTCCCTCGCTGCCTATGGTTTACCGGGCAGCTCTGTTTGACGATATACGGAAGACATTCCCCACTGCCTCCTCTACTGCGCTGAGGCGGCCTGGATATGGAACAAAATCCGAATCCTATGGACCCTCCTCTTATCAGCCCCACCACCCACCATTACCCCCTTGAACATCCTACTCCTATCTAACATCCCCGACAGTCTCAAGGGGGCCAAGGAGGTCTCTGGTTCTACATTCTCAGAAAGCTGGCCCTATGGGTCATATGGAAAAGGAGATGTGCCAAGGCGATCGAGGGATCTGAAGTGACCAAAGAAGAAATGTGCACCCTTCTGCTAAGGATGGTGGAGACATAGATTCAATGCAGATGGAGGAGAGTGGTAACAGCCACGAAAGGCAAACCAGAAAGACGCGCACTCAGGAGACGAGCCTTCACGAGAGACTGGCTGCTACAGGGAAAGATCGCAACAATCACAGATAACAAGCTGATCTGGAAGAAGTGGTTCATCCCAACATCTGCAAGGAACACATTCCAGTAAAGGACAAATTGAGGCTATTGTCTTAGAAGGAAGACAACCCTCCCAGTTTTCTTGTTAACCACAGTCCATCCGACAGAAGTCACAGAACCAATAGGGTATCTGAGAGGAAAACTAGGGTAGGGCAAGCTGACAGTCAATCCTCCCGAACAGTAGTAATCAATGTTGGTCAGGGTTCGCTCGGCCAGACGGAAGGAAGCGTGAGAGTGTTCACGATGTATTCCAAGATTCAACTTGCCGGTGAAGAGGAACAGGACTGACGCTCCCCAGAATGGATATGGAGCCAGGACCATAAGGACCTGTTAAAAACCATTGTCAGAGCACCACGCCACGTTTTCATGCACTGCACAATTCACTGCAAGCACAGAAGTTGCAGTTTTTTCTTGGATCCAAAGAAATGCAGTGGCAACTGCTTGGGTCATGTCAGCCGAACTACCCACCCAAACAACCATTGCTGGTGCCATGTGGTAGGATTGCAGTGCCTCATGTCCTCAAAACTCAAGCAACACATCATCCAAGGATCTCACCGGGTTGCTTTCATTTAGGTGGCCGGAGGGGTGGGGGTGGGGGTGGGGGGAGAGAGAGAGAGAGAGAGAGAGAGAGAGAGAGAGAGAGAGAGAGAGAGAGAGAGAGAGAGAGAGAGAGAGAGAGAGAGAGANGAGAGAGAGAGAGAGAGAGAGAGAGAGAGAGAGAGAGAGAGAGAGAGAGAGAGAGAGAGAGAGAGAGAGAAAACTCTTCACAGGAAACCAAAGTTGTGAACATGAGAGCACAGAAAACAGAACGTTCACGTCACAAGAACAGCCCACTATCTTGTTTGTGCAGCCATATAGTCTTTCACTGCAGCCCAATTCTACACAGCCCCCTTCTCTCCTCCCAGAGGCATCCACCTCTCGTGTTCGAAGGCTGAACAATCAAGAGAGGTGCTACAGGGACTTTATCATCCATTGGCCACACCACACTGATGGATTCACCTCAGAGATTATGCTTTGTGAAGGGAGCAAGCAGCAGATGCTTTGAGACCAACCATGCACGACACTTTCACACCATGTTCAAGCAAATATGACACAGACATCACAAGCACAACTGAGATGTAGCTGGAAGACAGTATCCGCCAATGTCTCCCTCTCTCTCTCTGTCAGTCACCTCACTCTTAACTTAGCTATGGCACCCAGCGCCGGCAACTATCGACTACGAGCTAAGATGCAGCACACATCGAAGTATCCCAAAATAGTGCAGCAGCACTTCCACATTGACTCACAAGTGAATATGTGCAACCTCTACGACTGGAGGTCGTACTCGACCATTCACCTTCCGGACTTCCCTGACCGGTTATGGGTCCGGTACCCTGCTGATGTTTGTCACTTCCGGAAGTTTGCAGACTTTCCTGCGACTTCGCTTCTTATTGACAAAAATGGCCTAACGACTGCAACGGACTTTTCTAACCCCTATTGGTACCTACCAGAAAT